CCTGCACCCCCAACCTATTGGTGCCATTTTTCCCGCAGCTCACTTCATGTCTCTGTGTCATATTTTGGTAATTCTTTCAGTATTTGAAACGTTTTCATTATCATTGTATTTGTGATGGTGACCTGTGATCAGTGATCTTTGATGTTCCTATTGCAAAAAGATTATGACTTGCTGAGGCTCAGTTTTGATGGTTAGCATTTTTAACAATAAAGTATTTTTAAATTAAGGTATGTATATTGTTTGTTTAGATATGCTATTGCGTACTTAACTAGACTGTAGTATAGTATAAGCATAACTTCTGTATGTACTGGGAAAGCAGAAAATTTATGACCTGCTTTATTGTGATATTCGCTTTGTCATGGTAGTCTGGAACCAAACTTGCAGTGTCTCTCAGGTATGCCTCAGAAAGTCATTCAAGAAACATTTACTGATTTTTCCTGAGCCAGGTTCTATACTAGGTTCTGAGGATGTTGAGATGGACAGTCCTCTTGCCTCTTAGTTGCTCAGTTTTATAGAGAAAACAGCAATATAAACCATAATTACAAGATCGTACCAAAAGTAAGGTAAGGGATGACATTCTCACCAGAAGGTTAGCATATGACCGCAGGTAAAGGCGGGGGATGGGGGGTGGGGTGTGAAATGGCATGACCTGGACAGGGAACATTGAGAAGTTCACATGTGGCTGTGAGGGAGAAGGGGTGGGAGGTGAAACAGGAGAGGTCAGTAGGGAACCAATTGTAAAGGGCCTGTGTGCTATGCTGAGGAGACTCAGTGTTATCCTAGGGGTGGCGGGGAAGCCAAATGAGGTTACTAAATGGGGGGATGACATGGTCAGATGTGTTTATTGAGAAGTGGGCCCCCCAATTGTATAGGGTAAAGAAATGAGAGAATTGCAGGGTAAAAGAGGGTGCTTAGAGAATAAAGAAGGCTTGTTTCCAACTGAGCTTCAAGGAAGAGTCCTCTGATTCTTAGATTTTGTTATATAGTTATGGATGTGTCTTTTAAATTTTTTAGTTTGATTTCTTTCATGTATTAAGTAAAACTTAAAAGTATAAAACTTTTAGGGGAAATATTTGTGACCTTGTCTTAGACAAAGATTTCTTAGATATGACACCAAAAACTTAATCTATGAAAGAAATAACTAGATAAACTGGTTATCAAATAAAAAAATTTCTTCAAAGAAACACTTGTAAGAAATTTTAAAGATAGCACAACAATGTGAATATACTTAGTGCCATAGAACTGTACACTTAAAATGTACATTTACTTAAAGTGGTAAATTTTATGTTATATATATTTGACGACAGTAAAGAGATAATGGAACCAAATCAAACACATATAATGGCTTTGATATATAAACTGTACCAAAAAAAGGGAGGGGTAGATTTGGATATAGAAACGCACATAGAGGGAAGACAATGTGAAGACACAGAGAGAATGCCATCTACAAGGCCATACAAGGAATGTAAGGTTACCACAAGCTAGGAGGGGGGTTGTGGAATAGATTCTGTGTCGCAGCCCTCAGAAGGAACCAACCCTGCTTACATCTTGATTTTGGACGTCAAGCCTCTAGAGCTCAGACAATAAATTTCTTTTTAAGCCAAAAAAAATTTTTTTTTGAAAAGACATACCACAGACTGGGAGAAAATATTTGCAAAACACACATCTGATAAAGAATATATTTAAAATTCTCAGGAAATTCCCTGGCAGTCCAATGGTTGGGACTCCTCAGTTTCACTGCCAAGGGCCTGGGTTTAATTCTTGGTGGGGGAACTAAGATCCCACAAGCCATGTGGCACGGCCAAAAGAAAAAGAAAAAGAAAAAGAATATATATTCAATAATAAGAAAGCACACCACCCAATTAAAAAATGAGCAAAAGATTTGAACAGACACTTAAGCAAAGAAGATAGCAGTGGCAAATAATAAATAAGCATGTGAAAACATGCTTAACATCATTAGTCATTAGAGAAATGCAGATTAAAACAATAGTGAGGGGATTCCCTGGCAGTCCAGTGGTTAGGTCCCTGGACTTTCACTGCTGAGGGCCTGGGTTCAGTCCCTGTTCAGGGAACTAAGATCCTGCAAGCTGTACCACGTGGCCAAAAAACCCCCCAAAAAACAAAACAATAGTGAGAAATTACAACAACTCATCTGTTAGAATGGGTAAAAACAAACAAACAAAAGAAACCCTGACAATATCAAGTGCTGTGAAGATGGGGAACAACTGGCGCTTTTCATATACTGCTGATGGAAATGCAAAATGGTAGAGCCACTTTGGAAACTACTGTGACAGCTTCTTATAAAATTAAATATACACTTAACATATGACCCCACAGTACCACTCTGAAGTATTTACTAAAGAAAACTGAAAACTCATGTTCACACAAAGACCTGTATGCAAATGTTTATTGCAGCTTTATTTATAATAGTCACAAAACTGGAAACAACACAAAATCCTTCAGTTGGTGAATGGATAAATTAACTATGGTACATTTATACAATGGATTACTACTCGGTAATAAAAAGGAATAGCTGCTGATACGCATAACAACATGGATGAATCTCAAATGCATTATGCTAAGTGAAAGTAGCCAGACACAAGAAGCAGCATACTCTGTGATTTCATTTATATGACATTTTGGAAAAGACAAAAACTGTAGCAGAAAATGCATCAGTGGTTGCCAGAGGCTGGGGGTGAGGGGTAGACTACAAAGGGACACAAGGGAAGTGTTTGGGTGATGCAAGTGTTTTATATCTTGATTGTCATGGTGGTTACATAACTGTATTCATTTGTTGAACTCATGGAAGTGTACATTAAACAGGATGAATTTTACAGAATGTAAATTATATGTCAGTAAACCTGACTTTTTTTTTTTGGCCAAGCCATGTGGCTTGTGGGATCTTAATTCTCTGACCAGGGATTGAATGCAGGCCCTCGGCAGTGAGAGCGTGGAGTCCTAACTACCGGGCTTCCAGGGAATGCTCAAACCTGACTTTTAAAAAAATGCTTTGGAGATCCCATTTCCCACTAAAAGGAACCAAAATTCCAAAGAGAAATGGCTGATTCCAAGTGTGGTGTAGGAAACGTAACAAGATGACCTTGTACTGTCTTTGTCATACAGAAAGCAAACATTAGGTATTAGCTATTAGCTATTACCTCTAGGCTTATATCAAAAAGACCCAGGAGAGGGCTTCCCTGGTGGCGCAGTGGTTGAGCGTCCGCCTGCTGATGCAGGGGACACAGGTTCGTGCCCCGGTCTGGGAGGATCCCACATGCCGCGGAGCGGCTGGGCCCGTGAGCCATGGCCGCTGAGCCTGCGCGTCCGGAGCCTGTGCTCTGCAACGGGAGAGGCCACAACAGTGAGAGGCCCGCGTACCGAAAAAAAAAAAAAGACCCAGGAGATAACTTAAATAGACTCACACTGGGCAAAGGTGAAACATATTATTAAGGATTACAACTGCAAATCTGTTGAAACCCATGATTTTATAATAATTCAAAAACAAAACACTGCATTAGTCACCTTTAGAAGATGCTTAGTAATCAATTCATTATTTTGAAAACTGGTAAATTAAGGAATCAAGCATTTATCCTTCCTTTTCCTATACAGATGGAACTTCAAGACAACCAGCTAGTTGATAAGGGGAAGTTTTTCTTTGTAGAAGTATTCCAGTTGATGAATGAAGAAGAATGATAGAATTTATATATCATTGTTTTACAACTTTAATGAATTACCAGATCTAGGCAGTGATCTTCAGTGGTTACTAATATCACAAAAAGAAAAATATAGTTCCTGAGGGAGGTACACACTACTACCTGTGAAGTGGTCTTATAAAAATATTGAACCTGAATGTGATTAAACCTCTAAATCAAACTACCATCTCAGGATATACAGGGGAGAAATTGCAAGGGGAAAAAAAGTGAGATGTAAAGAGATTTTATGTATTAAAAGATACTTAAGGGACATATTACCCAATTGCAATGTGCGGACATTCTTGGAGCCTAATTACAACAAATAAAAACTTTTTGAGTCAGGGAAATTTTATTATGGAGTGGATATTTGCTATTAAAGAGTTATTAAAATTTTAGGCATGATATTGGTTTTGTGGGTTTTTTAAAAAAATAATTTTAAAAAGATATTATGGAAATATTTACCAACAAAATGCTATGATTCCTCTGATTGGCTTCAGAATAATCTGGGAGGAGTGGGTAAATGTATAGATGAAGCAAGATTGGCTATGAGTTAATTGTTGGAACTGGAGAATTATCTCTACTTTTACATATGTTTCAAATTGTCTGTATTAAAAAGTTTTAAAGAACTGGCAAAAAATGCTATGGAGATATCAAATAAGAGTAAAACTGATATGTTTTCATTTACATTAGCATTAAGAAGTTGTTGGTGAGCTTTTCTAATCATTTTAGTGAGGTTGAGCAGAAAGTGTTGGGGAGGGAAGAGGCCACTCTCTGACATCATCTAGTACCTACTCTCTTTTTGTTTACTCTGCTGTAGCCACACTGCTATTTTTCAACATGCTTTCACCTCATGGCCTTTATGTTTGCTGTTCCCTTTGATTATGCCATGTAAAATACCCCACCTATCCTAGCACTCTTAACCTTAACCTGCTTTATAGTTTCTCATATGTGACCTATATATTTAGTTATTCATTTTTGTCTTTTCACTAAAAGGAAACTCCTGAGAGCAGGAATTCAGTTTTAATTACTGCCGTATCCCTAGCACTTGTACATAGTAGGTGCTGATAAATGTTGACTGTTTAATACGTGTTCAGTAAATGTTGAGTGTACCGATTAATGAATGAACAAATGAATGAATTCTTCAAATATCATTTCAAATTTTTCCTCCTCTGTGAACACTAGGCCCTCCCCTTTCTGAAAATTGAGAAGTTCTTTACCCTGTACTCCCACTTTAACTTGTATACTCCTCCATAATAGCTAATCCATAGTGACTGCTATTATTATTATTACCTTTTTCTTTTTTTTAAGGATTCATCCAGAGATATTAGAGAGGCTCTTCATGAACTCTTATGTTGCACTAATGTTTCAACCAAAGAAGGGATTCATCTTGCACTGGTGGAGCTGCTGAAAAATTTAACCAAGTACCCTACTGATAGGGACTCCATATGGAAGTAAGGATTTTTTTTTGCTCATTTGTTCGCTGAGTCTGATAATATGGTAAATGTACAATGTTGACATTATTTAGTGGATCATCATAGATTGGGTATGGCCTTCAATTTTGTCTTCAATTTAGAAACCTGATTCAACATAACTATACTCTCAAGAGTCTGGTTCCTAAATTGAATATCACATCTTAGGTTATTCATTTGTCCATCCATCCACCTAGCAAATACTATGTGCCTGCTGTGTGCTTACTATGTGCCAAGCCCTGTGGTAAGTTTTGGAGGTACAGAGATGAGTCGATTAGATTTCCTTTTCCTCTTATATAGTGTTAGTCACTCTTTGTCTGTTTCCATCATTGTAGAGATTAAAGGGAGGGTGAGTATTTGGTTTTCAGATGGAAAATCACAATCATATTTTCCCCTGATTACCTCTAGCTTTACTGGCTAGAGTCAAGCTTAACACTGTTCATGAATTGCTGTTTGAGGAGCTACTTGCATACATTTAATACAAAATGTACGTTGTTGTACTCCACATATTTCAATGAGCTTATGTGATGAGATCACTGCAAATATATGATTGATTTATTTTCAAAAAAAATTGTTATTAAAAGTCGAAAAACTGTGGGTCAAATCAGGTGCTTGGAAGACATACTAAGAACTAAAAATGCCAGGGAATCTTGCTCTAGGTAACGTTTTCGATACCTGGTTTTCTGTTTTGCCATTTCTTCATGTTTGTTCAGTCCAATTCAGCTCAATTCATTGTACATTTATTGAGTGTCTTCAAGGGGCACTCAGTCATTTGGGCTGTGGGGATACAATGTCCCCTGAGGCACAGTGAGTAAATGGGCTGAGAGAGGTCAGAAAACTAGTGAATTAAGTTCTTTAAGACAGAACTGGAGAAAAGTGTACTTTCCTAACAGTATCAAGTGTTTTAAATGTGATGCCTTTCATACCCCATATAGCCATCAGTGTGTTCATGGGGTTTGTTTTCTCCCTTTTGCTGATCTTCTTATTCTCCAGTCCTTGGTGAAGTCTCATCTTCTTTGTGCAGCTTTCTCCGATCATAGTGATCCCTTCTACCTTTGACAGGTAGAAAGCAGGGTATCATTCATTTGATAGTTCATTACCTTATAGTGTTAGTCATCTTTGCCTCAGTTGGATTATAAACTCAGTGAGGACATTAAATTAAGGTTTATATTTATTTTCAATTCAACACACCTTCTACACCAGAACTTAATTAAAAATAACAAAAAAGCATAAATACCAGCACACATGTAGTTCTTTATAACTTATAAAGGACCTTCGTGTAGTCATAGTAGTTAACTAATAGCCAATTAATAATAGCTAACTAATAGTTAATTGAGTTCTTATTATATAATGGCAGACACCTTGGTAAGTACTTTTCACTCATTATCTCATTTAATCCTTATAGCAACTGTATGAGGTAATTATATTTAATCTCATTTGTAGGTAAACATATATCTGCTCAAGGCCACAGAGTTATTAAGTTTCCTGTTTCAGATCAGATCTCTTCTGATTCTAGAACTTCACCCAGGATATCAGTTAGAATGCTTTTATCTACAAGTAACAGAAAATCTGATTAAAAGTGGCTTAAACAGTAAGGTCTAATTTTTTTGCATAACAAGAAGTCAGAAAGTTGATTTCAGGATTGGTCATTCAACAGCTTAACAGGACTAGTACTCTGGTTGACTTCTTTGCAGTTCTCTTGGCTTTCTCCTCATAGTTGCAATATGGCTACCTGATAAGACAATATCTTAAGACAGAAAGAAAAGGACATTCCCTCCATGCACTTCTCTTTTTTAAAAATTTTATTGAAGTATAGTTGATTTACAATGTTGTGTTAATTTCTGCTGTACAGCAAAGTGATTCAGTTATACATATATGTATATTATTTTTCATTTTCTTTCCCATTATGGTTTATCACAGGATATTGAATATAGTTCCCTGTGCTATACAATAGGACCTTGCTTATCCATCCTATATGTAATAGTTCACATTTGCTAATCCCAAACTCCCAATACTTCCCTCCCCCACCCCCCTTCCCAACCACAAATCTGTTCTCTGTATCTGTGAGTCTGTTTCCGTTTCATAGATATGTTCATTTGTATGCACTTCATTTGATTAGGAAAACACTCCTGAGAAGCTCCGCAGCAGACTTCCCCTCTTGTCCCATTGACCAGAACTGGGTTACTTGACTACCTGCAAAGCAGTCTCTGTAAAATGGGCTTGGGATTGCCATGATGAGTTTAGACCAGTTGTGGTTGAGCCATTGGGCTAGGTCTACCTTCATTGAGCACTTTGCTACTTACCTGATACCTGAGTAAAATCAGGGTTCCCTTGGCAAGGAAGCTGGGGGAAATGGTTGTTAGTTAAATAACTTGTAGTAATATCTGTCATATCAGCTCTCTGTCTTCATAATAACCAAGTTTTTAGATGAATTAACTTGAGTTCTGGAATAATTGAATGACTTACCTGAAGTCATAGAGGTAACAAAAGTAGATGGTTGAGAATTTGTAATTCTGAGTCAGGTTTTCTGATTCCAATTCTCAGTACTTTTTAAAAAAGAGGTTTGCTTGTTTCTCATTTTGTTTGTTTCAGATGCTTGAAGTTTCTGGGAAGTCGGCATCCAACCCTGGTGCTTCCCTTGGTGCCTGAGCTCCTGAGCACCCACCCGTTTTTTGACACAGCTGAACCAGACATGGATGATCCAGCTTGTATCCTCTGCTGATTTAGCAGGGAATTTTGGCATCTTTTTCTGCAGTATAGCTTGGATGGTCTGAGGGTTTTGTTTTGTTTTGTTGTTATTTTTCTTTCTCATTTCTTTTAGTTAAAAGTATATCCTGAGGGAGCCTAATGGTTATTTTCCTCAGCTTTTTTTCTTATATTCACAGTAATTCAACTTTGCCATTTAATACTAATACTAAATCTTTAACCATTTATTGAGCATCTACTACATTCCACATACTGTTTAAATGCTTCATACATTTTTATCACTGATCTGCAAACAACCCTGGAAGGAGGTATTATTCCTTGCTTACAGATGAGGAACTGAGGCTCAGAGAGGCTAAGTACCTCTCTAAGCAGCAAATCTGGGATTCAAAGCCAGACAGACATCTTTGGTTTTAAAGCCTGTGGACTTTTCCCTGTGTCTTATTCTGTGCTTAATTTGATCTGCAGCCTGAAGGAGGGGATGGGCTGAGCTAGGCTGCATGATTACTCTAGCCCTGATACAAGTTCAAGGGAGTTGTGATAGCTTTGGGCAGCATGCCATGCCGTCGGGTTGTTTTCCAGTAATGGGAATACATTTACATCAGTACATCCATACTCTCCCGTGGTTCTTTTCACTCTATAGCACGTCCTTGGTGAGGTTTAGTGGGGTATTTATTGGGATACAGAGATCAGCCAAATAACTGACTTTTGTGATGACCATTGTATTCTCTCTTAATTCTTTTTATTTTCACAGGGCATTTGGAGAATTTTTTAAAAGATCTGTGTAATTGATGTGCTAACCAATGCCTGACTCTGTGTTTACATCTAAAAAAGGCACATCCCTGACCTTACCTCTAAAGGTGCAATACTATGACTATTTGAAATTCAGCTCATCAGAGAGGCTTGTGGGCTAGGTGTTATTACAAATCGCACAGGACATATTAAAGTGCCCTGAAATCTGAAGCCCCTTTTCACGTTAAAAAAAAATACTAAACATTTTTGGAAGCCTAATGTTAAGATATTTTTCTGGGTAGTTGGAGAATTGTGTTATTTAAGAAATATGTTTGGCTGTGAATAACAGAGATTGCCCCAAATGTATCTTAAATGTTAATTACAGTTTTTTTTTTTCCTCAATGTAAAAGAAGTCTGGAGGTAAGCAGTCTGGTATAGTAGTTCCACATTATTCTTGGTGATCTAGGCTCCTTCCATTTTTCTGTTCCTCCATTTTCAGTTGTCCAAAATTATTGCTAGAGCTCCAGTCATCAGGTCCAGGTTCTAGGCAGGAAATTAGAGGATATTTGGAATAAAATCAATATTCTATTAGTAAGGAAAAAGGGAACAATGGATACTGGGTAGGCAAATAGCACACTCTGCCATAGAGATACATACAGAAGATTGGAAGGTATGTTTATCTTGTGTTTTTAATTTCTGATTTTCCCTCTGTTACAAAATTAATATACATAGAAAGAAAACTTTTAAAAGTAGAAAGAGGAAATTTCATATGTAACACCCAGAGTCTTAATAGCCAATGTAATTGACTTAATATTTTGTTGTGTTTCCTCCTCCCTTTTAATTTAATTTAATTTTTTTTGCGGTACGTGGGCCTCTCACTGTTGTGGCCTCTCCTGTTGCGGAGCACAGGCTCCGGACGCGCAGGCTCAGTGACCATGGCTCACAGGCCCAGCCGCTCCGCGGCATGTGGGATCTTCCTGGACCAGGGCACAAACCTGCATCCCCTGCATTGGCAGGCGGACTCTCAACCACTGCGCCACCAGGGAAGCCCTCCTCCTCCCTTTTTAAAAGCTTGGGTTTGGGATTTTGCTGTCATTTTATTTTTTAACATTTTATTTCATCAACAAACATTTGATGATAGATAGCTGCTGTCATATTGTCTATACATTTTAGAGTCTGCTTTTTTCACTTATAACAAAATGCTTATGATGCAATGTTAAAAATCTTTTATAAAGATAATTTTTAGTTATTGTGTAATACTCCATCAAGTAGATGAAACACAAGTTATTTAATCATTCTCCTGGTTTTGGACATTTAGGTTGTTACTGATTATTTGCTACTGTAAATGATTCTCTGCCATTTGATTTTGAGATGTGGAATTACTCAACATTCATAAGACTCATATCTAGTACCAAATTATTATTCCAAGGGATTGTGCCAGTATATACTTTAGTAGGCATTGTACCAGAAGTTCCTATTTGTTAGTATTCTCGGCAGCAGACATTATTTTAAAAAACCTTTCTTTGGTAATTGGAGGGGTAATTGGGGTAATTTGGAGTGAGGTAATGTATCTCTTTGAATTTGCATTTCTTTGTTAGAAAATTGTAGTCATTTAACAGGAATTTGGGGGGTTAGAAGTCGAGGCACCAAATTCTGGCCAAGCTCAACCTTTTATACCTCCAAGTTTACTTAACCCACTTATTTATCAGACATTGCAGTTTTGGTTCTTATTTTCAATGCTGCTAAAACCTGTCCAACAATGCCTGCATTGTTCTCAGATCATACCTTCAGACACTATGCCTACCTCCGAGACAGTCTTTCTCATCTTGTTCCTGCCTTGAGGGTATGTTGAAAACATCTTTCATTCTTGTTTTTGGTTTTTTGATTTTTAGTCCGTGTGGTTGTTAAGTGGCAGAAAGCAGACTGTGTATTCTCTGAAAACACATTCATTAATTATCTTTCTCTCTTGGGCTTTCTTCTATTGTTTTGTACTTTTCTCTGAATCTTTTTTTGTTTTTTAATAAATTTATTTATTTTTGGCTGCTTTGGGTCTTTGTTGCTCTGCGTGGGCTTTCTCTAGTTGCAGAGAGCGGGGCTACTCTTCGTTGTGGTGTGTGGGCTTCTTATTGTGGTGGCTTCTTTTGTTGCAGAGCACAGGCTCTAGGCACGTGGGCTTCAGTAGTTGTGGCACACGGGCTCAGTAGCTGTGGCTCTCAGGCTCTAGAGCACAGGCTCAGTAGTCGTGGCTCACGGGCTCTAGAGTGCAGGCTCAGTAGTCATGGTGCGCAGGCTTAATTCCTTTGCGGCATGTGGGATCCTCCTGGACCAGGGCTCGAACCTGTCTCCCCTGCATTGGCAGGCGGATTCTTAACCACTGTGCCACCAGGGAAGTCCCTGCTCTGAATCTTTTAAGAAGATTCATTTTTTAAATGTCCCTGGGTCTAGGGGCAGGACAGGAATAAAGACACAGACGTAGAGAATGGACTTGAGGACATGGGGAGGGGGAAGGGTAAGCTGGGACGAAGTGAGACAGTGTCATGGACATAAATACACTACCATGTAAAATAAATAGCTAGTGGGAAGCAACCACATAGCACAGGGAGATCAGTTCGGTGCTTTTTGACCACCTAGAGGGGTGGGATAGGGAGGGTGGGAGGGAAATGCAAGAGGGAGGAGATTTGGGGATATATGTATATGTATAGCTGACTCACTTTGTTATAAAGCAGAAACTAGCATACCATTGTAAAGCAATTATACTCCAATAAAGATGTTAAAAAAAATGTCCCTGGGTTATTGATTATGTTATAGTAGGCAAGAAGAAGAAATCTGGAACAACATATTTTAAATCAAGGATAAGATTGTGTTATATCTTAATAATTACATAAAGCTATGATTCTCAGCAAGTTTTTTTTTTTTGGTTGCGGGTCTTAGTTGCAGCAGACAGGCTTCCTAGTTGCGGCATGCGTGTGGGATCTAGTTCCCTGACCAGGGATCGAACCCGGGGCCCCTGCATTGGGAGCGGCAGAGTGTTATCCACTGCGCCAAGCAGGGAACTCCCAAGTTTATTTTTTTTATTTATTTATTTTTTTTAGAAAAAAATTTTAATGAACTATAATGATAATAATAGCAAACACTTACTGAATGCTGTGTGCAGGCACTTTTCTAAGCTCTTTATTTGTATTTACTCATCCCTGCTTAAGTAACTCTAAATGACTTTATTTAGAATAATATATGTACATGGTTAGAAAATTTAAACTATATAGAAGATACAAAGTTAAAAGTAAAATCCTTTTTGCTTTCCCTTCCTCATCCCTTTCTTGAAAGGTAGCCACTTTTAACAGTAAGAACAAGGATTATAATTATCATCATAAAAAACATTTTTACAACATGCTATATAAACTTATTTGGGAATAAATCATCACTCTTCTATGAAGTGAATGATCAAATAAAGGTTAAAAATAAATGTGACTACCGATTAATTTTTAGTCCTATTTCTGTGATTAGCCCATTTATTTCAGTTAGCAATAGAAAATAATGTTATACCATTCTCTTTTCTTTTTCTCCTTGCAGCTGTGGCTGTATTCGGTAGACCATGTTCGTTTTCTCTCTCTTTCCCTTTCTCCCACTTAAGCTGAGGAAGGAGAAGAAGGTTGTTTACAGAATTATCTAGCTTTTTTTTTTTTTTTTTTTTTTTACCTTTTCTTTGTTTGGTTCACATTTTTTTCCTGGTTTCTTCGTGTTACTAAAAACTGAGCCACAGAAGTTGTTTTTTTTTTTTTTTTAAGCCAGAGAATTTGATGGTGCTGTAACCCCACTGTGTTTGCTTAGTTACCAGGTAGAAAACTAGTGTCATCAGCTCTTTCTCCCAATATCATGCCTCATGAGGATCCTTCCCATCAGTTCCTGCAGCAGAGCCTTGAAAGGGTATACAGTCTTCAACACCTGGACCCTCAAGGAACTCAGGAGCTGCTAGAGTTCACCATCAGGTGAGGTGATTGACCATCCCTTTCCTTTGACACAGTTAACGTTGTTATGCTTGGCTTGATCCTTTTGATTTCTCATGTTGATTATAGGCTAGTTTTTCTGACTGTGTTGACAGGATTTTCTGATGTTTTTATTTGGATTAGATTGTGGTTTAAGCATATTACAAAGAAAAGCTTTGTGTTCATGACAAGATTGATGATTAGTACAAAACTAGAAAGAGTTACAAAGAACCTGTTTTCAATTTTTCTTACCTTATATTAGTTAGGGTAACAGAAAATGCAACTAACAGTGGCTTAAACAGGATAAAAGGTTAATTGTTTCTCATAGGCGGACAGAGCTGAGATGGCTGATGACCTAGACTCATTCTTTCTTATTTCTCCATCTTTTGCATCAAGTGGCCTTTGGCTGAAGATCCAAACTTTAACCATCCCCTTTGTAATCCAGCCTCTAGGAAAAAGGAAAGAGCAGAAGGGCATCATTTCTACAACCACTCCCTTTTAAAGACACTTCCCCAAATTTGCATGTTCTAATTTTACTTGTGTCCCATTGACTAGAACTTAAGTCACATGGCTATATCTAGCTGTAAGGAGCTAGGAAAGCTAGTCTTTGTTCTGGGTGAGCAGTGCTTAGTTAGCACTTAGTGACTCTGTCACTAAGGAAGAAGGGAAGGATATCGAGAACAATCAGCAGAGTCTGCCAGGCCCTATTAGTATGTCCCGAATGATTTGAAAAGAAATGAGACCCATTTGCCTTTATTTTTTTTAATTTTTAAAATGAATTTATTTATTTATTTTTGGCTGCGTTGGGTCTTAGTTGCTGCACGCGGGCTTTCTCTGGTTGTGGCGAGCGGGGGCTACTCTTCGTTGCGGAGCACGGGCTCTAGGCGTGCGGGCTTCAGTAGTTGTGGCACATGGACTTTGTTGCTCTGCAGCATGTGGGATCTTTCTGGACCAGGGCTCGAACCCGTGTCCCCTGCCTCGGCAGGAGGATTCTTGACCACTGCGCCACCAGGGAAGCCTCCCATTTGCCTTTAGCAAAGACAGTATCTGTCTGCTTTTGTAAATAAGGTTTGATTGAAGCACAGCCACACTCATTCGTTTAGGTCCTGTCTATGGCTGCTTTCATTGCTGCAGTGGTAGATTGAGTAGTTACCACAGAGACTATATGGACTACAAAGCCTAAAATGTTTACTATGTGACCCTTTACAGAAAAAGTTTGCTGACCCTGAAGTGATGCCTGGATCACATTTTCTTTCTCATCTGCTCCCTCACCAATGTGATTAAATTTAGAAGCTGCTACTGAAGTTTTTGGCCCTGAGCCCAGGAAAAAAAGCTCTACTTCCCCACTCAGCCACACCTAAATAAACATTTAAGTTTTGTCCTTGACAGTTTTCTATCCAGTTGGCACTGAGAAGGTACAAAATGCACAAAAGCAAACCAATTTGGTCATCACCTGCAGTGCTGGCTGTTAGTAGGTACTCAGTAGACACCCAGGTTTGAGTCACTCTTATGATCTGGATTTTATGAGGTGATAGTCCTGTTGGGCTTTGGGCTGGTCAGACCGCAGTTCTAGTGCTGTGGTCAGTCCCGGGCACTATGTTTCTAGGTAAGTGCATTCTGAGAAAGGTGGCCAGGATGGTGAAAGATCCGAAAAGGAAAGCCGATGGTGCAGCAGTTACTGATGACCTACTGTGTTTTACAAATATTATTGCAGTTAGATGTTGTTAACCATTTTACAATGAAGAAATAGAAATTTGGGGAAATGAAGCAATTTGCTAGGAAGTAGCAGAACTGGGATTTAAATCTAGCTTTGTTTGACTCTAAAATTGTTGCTCTCTGATATGCAGCAGTGAAGGGGATTCTTTTATCAGTGGAGGTACGTCAGATGATCCCTGGGGTTCTTCAGAATTTATATTTTTCCGTAGTTGCTGAAAAGTGAAATGTTAGTCAGAATTTCATACAGAAGTTTCTCTGATTAGGACTCTGGCCGTTTACTTGTTAGTACTAGTATCAAACAAACTTCACCGTCAAACACATTGTCCTTTGTTGTAATCTAAGCAGCCGTGTCACCCAAATAAGATTTCACCTCACTGCTGTAGTTCAGTGAGGACCCTGGGGGGATGATTTTTTTGGTTTGTTTTTAGAACTTGACATAACTACTTTGTCTTCACCACTGTATTTTGGGTGCCTTATTTAGGAGCTTAGTAAATATTTGTTGAAAACTCTGGTTATGATGGCTTAACCAGGAATGAAGACTTTTAATATTTTTATAGATGGCATTTTCTTCTGGTCATACCTCATCTTCAGTTGCATGGATTTAATCTTTTATAAGGCTCCACTATCCAGATCATAGTAAGAGCTGCTGTCTGTTAAGTGCCCACTCTTCTGTTTTATGTACATTATTTCATTGAATTTGAAAACAATTCCATGAGAATTATCCAATTTTTACAATGAGTGAGGGAGCTGGAGTTCATTAGTTTGTTATATGGTTTTTTAGTGCCAAGCATTGTGCTAGGCAGAAGGGACACAATAGTAAACATGACATAGTCTCTGCTGCAAGGGATCTTACAGCCTGGTTGGGGAAATAGCTAGGTAAACAGGCAATGCAGTATTGTGCTTTCCACACAATACATTAAGTACAGGGTTTTCTAGAAGACAGAAGGGGGTACCTAACCCTTCCTTTCATGGTTTAAGCAATGACCAGAAGAATGACTAGAAATTAGTCAAGTGAAGAAGGGAGAAGACTGTCAAAGACAAGGAATAGCAAAGCCCTGGACTAGAACATAGGTTTTTCCAGCCCTTCCATCTTGTCACACTGCTTTGTTTCTGCATAAACAGTCTGTATGACATGAAGGATCTGGTATAGTGAGATTTAAAATCCAAAGACTTGTTTCAAATCAAAGAGGAAATCAGAAAAATACCTGGAGAAAAAATGAAAACAAAAGTACAAAAATCGAAAACCTATGGGATGCAGCAAAAGCAGTTCTTAGAGGGAAGTTTATAGCGATACAAACTTACCTCAGGAATCAAGAAAAATCTCAGAACAACCTAACTTTACACCTAAAGCAACCATAGAAAGAACAAACAAAACCCAGAGTTAGTAGAAGGAAAGAAATCATAAAGATCAGAGCAGAAATAAATGAAAAAGAGACTAAAAGAACAATAGAAAAGATTGATAGAACTAAAAGCTGATTCTTTAAAAAAAAATAAAATTGATAACCCTTTAGCCAGACTCATCAGGAAAAAACGGGAGAGGGCCCAAACCAATAAAATCAGAAATGAAAAGGAGAAGTTAACAACCAACACCACAGAAATACAAAAGATCACGAGAGACTACTATGAACCACTGTACACCAACAAAATAGACAACCTAGAAGAAATGGACAAATTCTTAGAAAGGTACAATCTCCCAAGACTGAACCAGGAAGAAATAGAAAATATGAACAGACCAATTACCAGTACTGAAGTTGAATCACTAATTTAAATATTCCCAACAAACGAAAGTCCAGGACCAGATGGCTTCACAGGTGAATTCCATCAAACATTTGGAGAAGAGTTAGCACCTGTCCTTCTGAAACTATTCCAAAACATTTTAGAGGAAGGAACACTTCCAAACTCATTCTATGAGGCCACCGTCACCCTGATACCCAAACTAGAAAAGGTATCACAAAAAAATAAAATTACAGGCCAATATCACTGATGAAAATAGATGCAAAAATCCTCAACAAAATACTAGCAAACTAAATCTAACAATACATTAAAAGGATCATCCTTCACTATCAAGTGGGATTGATTCCAGGGATGCAAGGATTTTTCAATATCTGCAAATCAATCAATGTGATACACCACAATAACAAATTGAAGAATAAAAACCATATAATCATCTCTATAGATAACAGAGAGCTTTTGATAGAATGGAACATCCACTTCTGATAAAAACACTACAGAAAGCAGGCATAGAGGGAATATACCTCAATAGCATAAAGGCCGTATATGACAAACCTGCCGCCAACATCATACTCAGTGGTGAAAAGCTGAAAGCATTCCCTCTAAGATCAGGAAAAAGAGGATGCCCACTCTCACCACGGATCTCCCCGGACCGGGGCACGAACCCGTGTCCCCTGCATTGGCAGGCGGACTCTAAACCACTGCGCCACCAGGGAAGCCCCACTCTCACCACTTTTATTCAATGTAGTTTGACATACGGATGGCTAACAGGCACATGAAAAGGTACTCAACATTACTAATTATTAGAGACTGCAAATCAAAACTACAGTGAGATACTATCACCTCACACTGGTCAGAATGGCCATCATCAAAAAGTCTACAAATACTAAATGATGGAGAGTGTATAGAGAAAAGGAACCCTCCTACAGTTTGTGGGAACGTAAATTGGTACAGCCACTGTGGAGAACAGTATAACCTCTAGTGTAATGTAAACATGAATTTTATATGCTGGGAAACCAAAAAACTTGCGTGCCTAGCTAGCTTTATTGTGATATTTGCTTTATTTGTGGTGGTCTGGAACTGAACCCACAATTTTCCGAAGTATGCCTGTAATTGCAGTTCACATTGTAAGGATTAAATGAGCTCAAATAAGGAAACACCTAGCACATCTAGTACAGTGCACATAGGAGGTGCTTTTTTGTACCTTTTTCATTAAAGAGTCCATAGTCTCCTGATGGATGTCTAAACTGAGGCTTCCTGAGGATCGTGGGCATAAAGAAATAAAGAGAATAGGTGTCGCTGTTGCTGCTCATGTTGAGTCCACAACAGCAGCCAGACATGGGGCTGGAGGATGAGCAAAGGATGCTGACTGGATCCGGAGATCCCAAGGAGAAGGAAGAGGAGGAGGAGGAATTAGTGGATCCCCTAACAGCAGCGAGAGAGCAATGCGGGCAGCTGGAGAAATGTGTAAAGGCTTGGGAGCTGCTAGAGCTCTGTGATGAGCATGTATCCTCCAGGTCACTGACAGAGGAGGATTGCGCAGAGGAGGTCTTTGCCTTCTTGCATGCAAGGGACCACTGCGTGGCCCCCAAACTTTTTAAAGCTTGGAATAAGTGTGCCGATTCACTCACCCCAGCCTTCATCACCTGAGCGTCGGGATATTTCCTTATGGTTTTGAACATGCCATTTGTTTCTTATTTGTATAACTAAGTTCATGTGAACCTCAAGGATTTTGGCTTAGGCAGGTAGCTTCCGTGTAATTATCAGTGATTCCATCTTAATAAAGTCCAGTGGTCAGCAAAAAAAAAAAAAGAGAGATACAGAGAGGAAACACTGGGACACAGAGCTTTTTGAGCAGGGCTGCCAAGTTTCTATTTTTGTTTGTATAATAGTTCAGATTTCCCATGGCTAGTTGGGTTGCATCTTGTTTTGTGCAATTCAGAACAAATGCTACAGGGCAAGGGTGGTAGAATGACTTAACACATGGGGGCAGTCAGCTAATGTATAGTCAGCTGGTCAGTGTTCTCTATAATGTAGCAGAAGGCAGAATCTTTCTGGAGATGAAATGGTTCAGGCGTAGAATGATTCAGGGCCATCTTTTGCAAGAGAGACATCAGAGATGCCAAAGGGAGAGACCAGCTGGCCGTCAAAATAGGATTTTACAGTTATGGTTAGCTAGTGCAGGGTCTTACCTTTTATTGTGCTTGATTCTCACACATGAGCAGGCTCTCCGGGATTAGCTCAAATCACCAAAACTCAAAAGAGTCGGTATATAAGCCACAGACCCCAATTTCTTCAGTCACTTTGGAAATAATTCATTTTTGCCCCTTTCCAGGGCATCTCCTTTCTTGCATCAAGGTTCTCAGGAGGCAGCATTAGCTATCAGAAAGTTGCCTGAAATAAGAGGGAGGGGCTTAGTCCAATGGACAATTTTGTACAGGCTGCTATGAAACCTGATACAGTATCCCAGCCCTGAAACAGTTAAATTCTCTCATGAGCCAGATCTTTAGGTTTCCCACAGTTACCATTTCTATGTGAAATTTTGATACGACATTAAAAAACAAAGCAGCTTTCTACGAATTTTTTCTGAGATTGTTAGCTTGCTTGCTCGCACTCTCTCTCATTCTCCCTCTCTCTCCTCCCCAAAAAAGAAGAAGAAAGAAAAGAAAAACATTACTTTTTGTAGATGTGTAGCATATTTCCAAAAGAATTTAAAAGAAACTGGTATGGTAGTTGCCTCTGGAAAAGGTTACTGGTTAGCAGCACACAGGTATAGGAAAGTGGATTAATTTAATTATCTATCCTTTAGTATCTTTTGAATTCTATTCCTTATTGGTGTAATTCTATAACTAGTTATGTATAACCTATTAAAAAAATTAAATGTTTCGAATCAGTAGTCCCAGCCCTGAACACAACTATTTTATGTGTGTGTACCACTTTCTGTACTCTTGTCCACAGGCAGATGTATTTAATATGGTTGCAATCACTTTGTCTATACCTATGTCCAGTTAGCATGCTTTAATTGTGAGTATCAGAAAACCTTATCTCAAATTAACTTATAATGGGTATTTATTTCTTCATATGAACAGAAATCAGAGGCATTTCTTAGTATGGTATGGTTAAGTAGTTCATTTATATCATTAAGGACCCAGTTTCTCTCTCTCTTTGGATTTTTCTTGTCCTCAACATTTGCTTTATCCCAAGGCTTTTTTTCTTTTAGAGTTACAGTATGACTGCCAGTGGTAATCAGGACTATAAAACTTTCTTGTCCTCAACATTTGCTTTATCCCAAGGCTTTTTTTCTTTTAGAGTTACAGTATGACTGCCAGTGGTAATCAGGACTATAAAACATTCTTGTTCAGTCTAGTGAGAGATAGAGACAGAGAGAGAGAAAGAGAAAATGAGTGATTCATAGACCACCATCAGACCTGCTTCAAGCATTGAATGTAAGTCCTTCCATTAGGACTCATAAGGCCAACCTAGGTGACCTAACCAGGAAGATGATGTGTGCTAATTAGCTTAGTCCAGTCGGACTCTACCTGGATCTAGGTTTGGGGCACCTTCTCTTGAACAAAATCAGGTTCACTTAGTAAGGAAAAAGTGGAAAATTACTAACTAGGTAGGCAGCCAATGGAGCCCACTATGATACCTTAAAATTTTTTTTTCTGATGATATAAAACATACTTACCGATTGTATAAAACACTTGGAAAATAAAGCATAGTTAGGAGAAGGCACTAAAAAACACCCTAATACCTCTATCTAGAAAACAGGTTGCTCTGTTTTTTCATATTTCATATATGTGTGTATATATATATATGTATATGTATATATATATATATATATATATATGGTTTTTACATAGTTGAGATCATATACCTTATTACCATATTATATTTTAATGGTTGTAGAATATTCCATTGACTGTATGTACAGTAATTTATTTAATAATTCCTCTACCGTTGGATATTTAAGTAGTTACTGGGTTTTACTATAACATAACAATGAATATTGCGGGGCATAAAGTATTTCATTTCTGTTGCATGTTTCCCTTAGAATTACTTCGTAGCATAAAGCTACTGATCAAAACTTTTGACTATGTGTGTGACTTTTATAACGTAGTACAGTTCTGTTTTCCAGAAGAATTACAGCAGCTTAAACTGCTATCAAAGTGTAAGTGAAACAGTTTCATTATAACCACTTCAGCATTGAGTGCTGTCATTTAAAATTTTTTTACCAATTTACTAGGTATAAAGTGGTAAAAAGCTTTTGACATGATCTTTAATTGGTGTTATTCTTATTCTGTGTTTGGCTTGGGTTTTTATTTACTACAGGGATCTGCAAAGACTTGGAGAACTTCAGTCTGAATTGGCAGGAGTAGCTGACTTCTCTGCTACCTATCTTAGGTGTCAGCTTCTTCTCATCAAGGTTGGTTTGAATCCATTTTGTTCATGAGTGTGTTGCTAAGAATGCAGTTTAATGGACCCAGCAGTGTTTGAGGCTATAAGTAGAAAAATAACTGGTTTTATGCAACTGCTTAGCAATGGGGAAATTATGTACTCTGTAGTATAATTATATTTGCCTCTAATTAAAGAATTGTTAACTCATATAGGAATTTGAATTTTTTAATTTGAGAGAATTCCTTTATCATATAATTAGAGCAGGTTGGATAACCATTTGCATTAGAATACCAAGGATTTTAATTGTTTTTTAACAATTTGATTAGCAAAGATCTTATATAAACATTTGTATTTTATATATTTATATATTTCTAAATGCTAATTTCATTTGGTCAAAGCCAAATTAGTCAAAGGTTGATTTCATTGCTCTTAAGAGCTAATGACTTGCTGTCATTTCATACTAGGTAGTTAGAGTACATATATATACATACACAAAATTGGTACCCAAAAGCTGTTTTAGTTCCCTGAGTTGAAAACCAGTTAAACTAGCTCAATAGCTGTCAGCTTCTGCAGCAGAGTTCTGCTATAAATTTAGGCTTAGAATTTAGAAGAGCCCTTCTAACTTGATAAGACTTAACTTGGCTTTAGTTCTAAATGTGGTTAGTCTTCAAAGTTATTAAAGATATTTGACCAAAGTCAGAATAAATGGAGGTGTCAGAAATTATTTGCCACTGTAAGATATGTGAGCTTAGGGTTTTGTAGGTGTGTGTATGCATGTGAAGATGAGTGTGTACACTGAAATAGTTTGGGATTTAAACAGTCCTTGTTTGGCTAGATAGATTCTTTCAAATATATATGCCTGTGTAACCACCATCACGGTTAAGATATAGAAGATTTCCATTACCCCCCAAAGTTCTTTCATGTCCCTTTGCATAGTTATTTGGCTTTTCCAAGCTTCTGTGAAACAAGGCTAATAATAACTCTACCCAGGTAAGGATTGGTAGCAAGCAGTGCATGTGACAACCCTTGGTCTAGTGTCTGGTACACAGTGAGTGCCATGTCAGTGTTGGTCTTCTTCCTTCTTCCTTGGCTTGTTGTCTTCTAGATAGCAATACAAGAAGGCCTTTGAAAAGAATCCACTTTTCTTTAGTAGGAAAAGAGAAGAGATTACTCCTAAAAAGAACACAGAACTATGTTTTTTATTCAGCGTCGTGTAGGAGAAGCGTAGGTAAGGGACCCAGACTTAGAACCCAAGGCAGGCAAGTGTTTGATAGTAGGGGAGGAGCTAAATAAATCGTGGCACGTCCACTCAACAGTATATTCTGTAGCAGTAATGATCTTTATGAAGAATTATATAAGAACATGACCAAATGTGACATAATATTATGTACCCAAAGAAGCACACAAAATTATTTCTGCTTTCTGACTACAACTATATAAAAAACATGCATATAGGAAGTGATTGGAAGCAAATATTTAAAAACAGTAACTCTTAATGGTAATATGATTTAGGTTATTAAACAATTTCTATATCTATAATCTAGACCTGCCACTGTCAAATACAGTAGTCATTAGGTATGTGTGACCATTGAGCACTTTAAATGTTCATGTTGAGGACTTCCCTGGTGGTGCAGTGGTTAAGAATCCGCCTGCCAATGCAGGGGACACGGGTTCGATCCCTGGTCTGGGAAGATCCCATGTGCCGCGGAGCAACTAAGCCCGTGCACCACAAGTACTGAGCCTGTGCTCTAGAGCCCACGAGCCACAACTACTGAGCCCAAATGGCACAACTACTGAATCCCACCCACCTAGAGCCCGTGCTTCGCAACAAGAGAAGCCACCGCAGTGAGAAGCCCATGCACCTCAAGGAAGAGTAGCCCCGCTCGCCGCAACTAGAGAAAGCCCGCGCCCATCAACGAAGACCCAATGCAGCCACAGATAAATAAATAAAAAATAAATAAATTTATAAAAATAAGTAAATAAATGTTCATATTGAGATGTACTGTAAGTGTAAAATACACACTGGATTTCTTAGACTTAGTATAAAAAATGTAAACTATCTCATTAATAATTTAAAAAATATTGATTGCATAGTGAAATAATACCTTATTTATACTGGGTTAAATAAACTATATTAAAATTAATTTCACCTGTTTCTTTTTACTTTTAAAGATGTGGCTACTATAAAGTGTAAAATTACATACACGGCTTGTGTTATATTTCTGTTGTATAGTGTTAGTCTAGGTTTTCTGTAATGTCATTATGTCTGTAATTAAGAAGGGCTGTGAAAATAAGCGACTATAGCAGAGGTTTAGATGAGATGGCCGTATGGATGGATAGGCGAGGAGGGAGATGGAAGGTAAAATCCATGGCTCTAAGTGATAGTTTTGAATGTGCAGAGATTGAGAGAGGGAGGAATCTAGGAAAGCTTCTTGATTTCTTGTTCGAGTATGTTGGTAAGGTGATGGGGCTGTTCAAAGGATAGAGAGCATGGAGCAAAGAAAAAGGAACTAAGTCAGGGAAGAGAAGGGTCTAGGCAGTCTGGTTAGTCCAGTGACTCTGGGATCAAGGAGGTCCCAGAGCCTCAGAAGCCTGGCTTGCCTGGACATTCTTGGTGAGGCCTTCATGGCTCCTGCACTCTGCTTGCAAGCTCTGGTCTGGAACATAGGGTCTTTGGGCCAAGAATTGAATGGGGAGGAGTTCATTTGGCCCAAATCATTGGTCTCCTCTCTGTCCATAATAGGTAGGGCTTATTGGCCTAAAGGAATAAGAATGAGAGGAAGTCTTGATCACGGTAAATTTTCAAAGCAAAACAGACACTTAAGTCTCAAATTATATGGCAGTCTTTTTGACCTCTGTGTTCTGTCCTTTCCTGATTTGTTAGGCCTTGCAGGAAAAGCTGTGGAATGTGGCTGCCCCTTTGTATTTGAAGCAGAGTGATTTGGCCTCAGCAGCAGCAAAACAGGTAAGCTTATTGAGACCTTCTCCTCAGGTGGATCTCTGTCCAGATCTCTGTCCAGAAATTGCATTGTCTAAGTTAGAGTCAGAGGCCTTCACAAGGCTCTGCTGTGGCCTCCCCATTTTTAGCCTGTGTCAGAAGTTAGTGATACGAGAAGCAGCGTAATTAGGGGACACAGCACTGGCTTTAGAGTCAGGGGACTTGGGTTCTGTTCCCATGTCTGCCTCTAATTTGTTGGGTGGTGTTGAGCAGGTTACTTAACCTCCCTGATTTCTAAGATTTCTTTTGTGTTCTAAAATATTATTAGTTTGTATTTCAGATATACTAAAATCCAATAAATACTATCATGAATCTTTCATCTGAAAATGTAGCTGAATTCATTTTGAGGTGGTTATATTTTTAGCCTGTACCATCTCTCTTTCTCTCTCTTTTCTTTAACCATCTCTTGAATATTTAAAGGTCTTTTTTTTCCTCCTCAGTTCATTAAGTAGCATTTAATTTTACTTGCCTTAAGTTTATTTCTTTCTAGTTTTGAGCAATTTCCCTTCATTCTTGGGTATTGGAATTTGGTGAACTCTTCTGGGTCATGTCTTCCCAATAGTAAGTCTGTATATGACTAATTACAACCATGTAGGAAGATAATGATGGTGACTATGATTGTTACATTACAGTTCACTAAATGATTTCAGGTCTATTTTAATTAGCCCTCATAATAATCCCATTAGGTTGGAATAAGTATTAAGTCCATTTTACAGATGAAACAATGCTCAGCAAGGTTATATTCGTAGAGCTGTAGGTAGTTAAGTCAGGAACTTGAGCTCAGGTACTCTGATACCCAGAGTCTGTTTTCTTTCCACTACTCTGCTTCATCTCTCATCTAATCTAGACTCCCTTTCAGACCTGCCATGTGGCTTATTGTAGGGGAGTAGAACTTAATGACAACAGAACACCAATAGGCCATGTTGGGAGGGATGGGACAGGGAGCAGTAGTCTGGAAGAAAGAGAAAGGAATTACCATTGCTATGTGACAGTTACTGTGCTAAGCACCTTCCATACCCCATTTAATCCTTTAAATTTTATGATGTTGGTGCTGTTTCTTCTGCATTTACAGATAGGGAAACTGAGGCACCATGTAATTAGGAAACTTATCTTACTGTCAGTTGTAGAAGACAGCTGACAGGGCTCTGACTCCAAAGCCTTCAATGGGAGGCAAGCATCATTGCCTGCCATCATTGCTTGCCTCCCATTGAAGAAAGGGAAGGGAAAGAGAAGCATCATTCGGGGGGGAGTCGCTGACTTGGATAGAACAGAGCGAGAGCTTAAGATGCGCTGGGCTTGAGCTGAGGTCACTGACATTGTTTTCTGCACTGATTCCCTCCCTAAAATCCCTCTGAGAGACCAGGCCCATAGAACAGTCTGGATGGCTAACAGGTGGTCAAAGGTTCCTAATACTAAGTTCTTGAGGACTTTTCCTGAGGATTACGTTTCCATATGTATTCATTTGCCACCACATCACAGTGAATTTGCTTTAGGTACAAGCAGTGCTTTACAGTTTTATCAGTGTTTAAACTTTCATATCTTTATATCATCAACTAAGATGATATTACCAGATGGAAGTTTGTTTTTTTAATTGACAAAATAATTTATTCTCTCAACATGTATATTAATTTCTCTCAAATTACACTAGTTTCTCTCAACATAGGCACTTAAAAATCTCAGTTCAGAATTAAAACATAGGCATTAAAAAAAGCACTCTGTTCAGATCTGGTTTCACTTAGAATCCTGTGCTGCTCTTTGCTCTTAAGTAAGACTATAATGATATTTTTGCTGCTTATTACTTACCTTTTCCTTATAGATCATGGAAGAAACCTACAAAATGGAGTTCATGTATAGTGGCGTGGAGAACAAGCAGGTGGTGATTATCCATCACATGAGGCTGCAGGCCAAAGCCTTGCAACTTATAGTAACAGCACGGACTGCTCGAGGGTAAGATGTGTGGTTGGTGCAAAAGGGTGGCTGAGTCCTTTTAAAGACACTTACAACTGCATTCAGAGATCTCACCAAGGTTAATGATGCGTGAAATAATATTTAGGAAAGACTACCTAAGGGATATACAAGCTCTTCATTTTTTCAGATATTCCAAGTTACATTCTGGGATCAGATTAGATCCCTGGAAAAACCCTTTGGTGGCTCTCCATTGCCTACAACACAACATAGGGCTTCATCTGGCAACAAGGCATTCTGTATAGTCCTTGATAGATTTCTTTAAGAATATAGTGCCAGAACCACTTTTTTTCTCTTCTGATGGGACTAGTGCTCTATCTTAGGCAGTAAAGACAAATTATGAGAATGTATGGTGCTGTGAGACTACTTTGTTCAAATCCTGACTCCCTGCTTACTTGTTGTTTGATTACAGACAGGTTTTTTTAGCCTCTCTGTGCCTTGTTTTCCTGTTTGTAAAATGAGAACCATGACAGCATCTATCTCATGGGGTTTCTGTGAAAAATGAATGGGATAATACATGTAAAAGCAGTTAGCATGGTACTTAGTACATAGTAAGAGCTCATTATAATTGTAGCTGTTAGACTTTCTGATAATGAGAATTGCTATATTTCATTGATTCTAAAATGCACATTTAAAAATTTTACTTCTCTGAAATCAGATATTTTGATGGTGTGCCGTAGTTTGGAAGTGTTTTTGTTTCTTGGTGTTTCATAAAATAAAGGTGCATCTTAAGAATAATGGCACCACGGATTTAATGTAATATAGTACTTAGGAAACTCGTTATCAGACAGGAGACACATTTGATGCTCAGTCCACCAGTTGTGTCAGCCTAAAAATAGTGTAGAGAAATAAATATGAGTGTTTAAGCAGTGAAAAATACATTAAAAGGAACATTGTATTATTTTATTTCTTTGCTTATCTTGATAGTGACCTGATAAACTCAGGTAGTGATTTAATCTTAGAGATAGCCATACATTCATTAAACAAATGTTTAATTCCTGCTATGTGCCAGTCACAGCTGAGAAAAGATAGGTGCTTGTGCTGGCATCTACACTTTTTTTTTTTTTTTTTTTTTGCGGTACGCAGGCCTCTCACTGTTGTGGCCTCTCCCGTTGCGGAGCACAGGCTCCGGACGCGCAGGCTCAGCAGCCATGGCTCACGGGCGCAGCCGCTTCGCAGCACGTGGGATCTTCCTGGACCGGGGCACGAACCCGTGTCCCCTGCATTGGCAGGCGGACTCTCAACCACTGCGCCACCAGGGAAGCCCTACGCATTTTTATTTAAAGAAAATAAATATCTTTTTCAGTTCATGTATGATTACTGTAAAAGTTTAAATATTGCAGATTAAGTGAACATTCTGTTCTCTGGTAATCTACCCCTTGTAAAACAAATGACTAAAAGTGTAGATTATAAATGCGTGTATTAGCGTAAATCGAATCATAATATACTTGGCTGTTCTGCCATATTTTCATTTCATCCAACAATATAATATTTCGTATTTCCATGTCATTGTATAAAGATTCCAATATATTTGGTGTTTACTCATGCTATATTATTTTATATTTTCCATTTGTATGCATACCTCAAGTGAGAGGCAGTAGAACATAATGATTAAGAGGGCTGGGGTGCCTCATTGATTTGATTCAGATCTTGACCCCACCATTTGCAAACTTAGTGACCTTGGACAAGTTACTTAAGAACTTCTGTCTCAGTTTATTTCCCATAAGTTAAACTGGGATAATAATAGTACTTGCCTCTCTGTCATAGGGTTATTGTAAGGATTATTGAATTATTATATGTAAAGCCCTTAAAATACTGCCTGACACATTAAGAGTAAACACTTGACAAATGTTAGCTCATTTTAGTTGTATAAATAGTATTTTTACTCATATATATATATAAATTTTTTTTTATTTTTGGCTGTGTTGGGTCCTTGTTGCTGTGCACGGGCTTTCTTTTTGCAGCGAGCAGGGGCTACTCTTCGTTGCGGTGCACGGGCTCCTCATTGCAGTGGCTTCTCTTTGTTGCAGAGCACGGGCTCTAGAGCACAGGCTCAGTAGTTGTGGCGCACGGGTGTAGTTGCTCCACGACATGTGGGACCTTCCCGGACCAGGGCTCGAACCTGTGTCCCCTACACTGGCTGGCGGATTCTTAACCACTGTGCCACCAGGGAATCCCTACCCTTATATTTTTAATAAACAGATTGACCTTATATTTTTCAGCATTAAAAAATAGAATTTATGATCATCTCTATCAAGACCATATCTAATCAAAATGAAAGTTTTAGTGTATTTTTATTTGATTGTTTCATGCTGTTAAATAATTTAGAATTTAGTTTCAGATTGTTCTTTTTTTTTTTTTTTTTTTTTTGTGGTACGCAGGCCTCTCACTGCTGTGGCCCCTCCCGCCGCGGAGCACAGGCCCCGGACGCGCAGGCCCAGCGGCCATGGCTCATGGGCCCAGCCGCTCCACGGCATGTGGGATCCTCCCGGACTGGGGCGCGAACCTGTGTCCCCTGCATCGGCAGGCGGACTCTCAACCACTGTGCCACCAGGGAAGCCCTCAGATTGTTCTTTTTTTAAATTGAAGTATAGTTGGTATACAATATTAGTTTCAGGTGTACAGCATAGTGATTCAGTATTTTTACAGATTATACTCCATTAAAAGTTATTATAAGATAATGGCTATAATTCCCTGTGCTGTACAATATATTGGATTATGGTTTTTAACGTATCTCTTATTTTAAGATTTCTTTCTTAAGATAGCATTACTCTTTATAAGTACATTATCAAAATAATTTAGCTCCAGCTTACCCACCACTGTTCTTTTTGTATCACAATTGCCTTTTAAAATTCCTTGTTCTAATTCACCATTTATATGACTGGAACACATTCGCTAGTATTGTTTTTCAGAGTAAGTATATAAGTAGTATACTCATTGAGACTTCACATATCTAAAACTGCCTTTCTTTTGCTCTCATACATAATTGGAATTCTTTCAGAACTCTGTTAATATTGCTATGTTACCTTTTAGTATTTAATGTTACAGTTAGGATGTCTGATGTCTGTCTGGTTCTCTTTCCTTTGTAGTTAGCTTATTTTTCATGGTTCAAAGCTGTAAACTTTTCTTTTTCTTTTTAGAATTCAGAAATTTCATCAGGATATGTCTAGTTATGTGTTTCCTTTCATTATTCTTACTGACTTTTAATGGGACTTCGAAGTCTCAGCTCTGTTTTATCTCAGGGATTTTTTCCCTCTATTATTTCTTTAATTACTACTTCTTCCATCCACTCCAGTCTGCCATACTAGATATTGTATTTTCTGGATCTATTTTCCCTATATCTTATCTTTTCTCTCACAATTTCAGTTTCTTTTTCTACTTTATATTCTGAGTAAATTCCTCAACGTACTCTTTTAATTTACCATTTCAGTTTTCATCATTTTTCATTCTAGTGTTCTTCAATTGTTGAGTTGATTTCATTATTATTATTTCCAAGTGTGCTTTCTTCTGTGTACCTTTTTTGTAGCAGTTTTTCTCACTTTATCAATGCGATATCCTTTCAAATCTCCTCTTAAATCTTAATCAGGTTGTTTATTAGAATTTTAAAAAATGCTTTCTGTGCTTTCTTCCCTTGACATTACCTCACTGAGGTCTGCTTGGTCTCCTTTACAGCTCCTTATCATCCTTATAACATCTAATAATTTTTCATTGTCTTTGAATACTTATAAGTGAAAGTTTAGACTAGTTTAAATTGGTAACTGGTATAGGCTTCCCCAACAGTTACAGGTCAATGTTTGGTTTCCCCTAGTGGGCCTCACTCTTACATTGAAAGCGGGGGTTCTTAGTGCCAGAGGCCTACTTCATGTACGTACCATGTAGGTGAGGCTACCTACTCTGCTTGGGGGTTGGGGAAGAGTTCCCAAATCTTTTTGTATTTTACTGCTTGGAAATTCTCCAAGTTGGTTGTACGTGAGCAAGCCAAAAAAGGTGCTACTTGGCCAAATTGCTTTCATTTCAGTCTCTGCTTAGCTGGAGTTCTCCCTTCCAGCCCTCTCATCCTAGGTGGTCTTTGGTTGGTTAACCTCACCAGCAAATTTCAGTTCCACTTCTAGTAGTTTGTCAGAGTTAAGAAAGTTTCAAGTGCTACCTGCTTTTTAGGAAAATAATTCAAATTAATGTTGGTTGTAGAGTACATTTCCATCTGCCATTTATCATTTATCCATTCAACAAATATTTATTGCATAGCTGCTTGTGTCAGGAAATACATGATGAATGATACAAAGTCCCTACTCTCATGGAGCTTACGGTTTAGTAGAAAAACTTGACTCGGTTATTAAGAACCTTGATACCATTCTCTTACATGTTTTTATATAAGGAAAGAGTATTTGTTTTTTCTTCACTGGAACTTTACTCCTTCAATTAATAATATATTAATGAAAATGAGTGGAACATTCCCTGCAGAAATTATAACAAATAAAATGCACAAAGATCAAAGGAAAAATCTGTTGTGTGATTAGTAAGTTATATTGGCCTGGCATGTTGCCTGGCTTATCTGGGTATACATTTAAGTTTTTACAGAAATGAAATACTCTAAGTACTACTTGACCAAAGAAGCCAAGATAGAGAAGAAGGCATATAGTCTGTGTCTGTGTGCAAAGTAGTAACAAAACTTTTTCCCCTTCTGCATGAAAATTTGACCTTTGGTTTCCAGATCTATTCCCTGGTAAGCTGATCGCATCAACTCTATTACTAGGTGACACTGCTATGGTAAAAATGATCTCTGAGAAAATTACATGTACACTAGAAGGAACTATCAGTGAACTATAATTACGTAATGCAGACACCATAGCTTTGGGCTTCATTGAATGCAGTGATTCTTGTAACTGAGCATATCCCTGTGGGGACCCTGGAAGGTATGCCTTTGGATTACTTCAAGAGATATTAGCACCTATGGAGCATGAGGCTTCTAAGTGAAGATGGTCTCCACATTCACCTGATGTAGATCTCATCTCCTTGAACCTGAGCTGTCAGTGGCAAGGTCAGAGCTCCCAGACAACTATGTAGATGGTTGAATGGGCTGCTGCCAAGGACTCCTGCAGAGGAGGAATGTGACATTGCACTGCCTGTAAGCTGTGCTTCTGTCCTATATCCTTACTGAATCTGGTGCCAAGTGTGGCCTGTGATAGTCTTTGATTTTGAATGTACATTGAGCCTAATGGGCACTGCAGTGTTTTAATTAGGTCTTGGGATCCTGGCAAATATTTCCCCCTAGGTCCATTAGGAGTCCTCTGTTTCTCTTACGGATAATTTTTATAGTATAATATGCTCATCGTCTTTTCTTGTGGGCTCAGGTTTCTGGAACTTTGGTCTTTACTCCTCAGTTCTCAGATTTCACAAGCAAATTACATGGGTTTTTGTTTGTTTTGTTGTTTTTTCTTTTCTACAGAGTTGACCCCTTATTTGGGATGTGTGAAAAATTTTTACAGGAAGTGGACTTTTTTCAGAGGTAAGTATTTCATCATCTTCTAGCTTATTAAATCTTGGTTATGTAAAGATCGTACTTACAGGGAAACAAGAGCAATCACAAGCCAGAATCTTTGGTTTAGCCCATGTAGCCAAGCTATTATGATACATGCAGTGTGGCCTAATTTGTATACAGGTGGCTCTCAGTATCCATGGGTTCTGCATTCATGGATATGGAGGGTTCGACTGTATTATTCCATTTTATATAAAGGACTTGAGCATCCGTGGATTTTGGTATTTGCAAGGGGTCCTGGAACCAATCCACCACAGATACTGAGAGATAACTGTATTTTCTTTACTGGTATATAAACTTCTTAGGTTAGCTAAACATACAGCATAATAATAAAAACATTAGGAATGTTTTTGATTCAGCACTCAGCTGGGCCAGAAAAAGACAAATATTATGTGAGAAAACTCAAACTCTTGTTGAAAAATCACAACTTGTCTCTTTTTCTTCACCATGGTTCTTAAACTTGCATATTTCTGTCTAATCTACAAAAATTGTTCCATCATTCTATAGGTAGCTTTTATTTTGTAGCATAGATATGTTTTCTCAGGATTCATTATGAAGTAAATCAGTTAAAACATATGCAGTCAATGAGTGGAAGGCTTGGTGAAACAGTGGGGGTCGAGGTAGTGACATTGACTGTGACCTGTGGTATGCTGGCGATACAATAGTGGGAAGAAGGCATTTATAGGATTTTAAAATCTAATATTTATTAAGTCTAATATTTCATTTTTTCACTCCTTGCTTCTACCCCCATGAACTTTACCAAACCTGGCTCTACAGGTTTGTATGACTCTACACTTTTCAGGCTTTTTTCATTTGGGTGATGATGGCTTCCTATAGGGCTGAGTTGCAATACTACTCTTCACCAATAGGAGCTGCTCTCTAGTAAATGATACAATCTAGCTTGACTCTTTAGATCCTGACTTCAAATCTCTACGAAGTCCATGCCTTACTTTTGGTTTTAGATTTTTTTTTTTAATTGAAGTATAGTTGGTTTACAATGTTGTATATGTTTCTGGTGTACAGCAAACTGATCTAGTTTGACATGGTTTTAGATTCTTTAAGGTGGAGAGTCTTGTTTTTGCACAGTTGCGTTGGAGAGATTTTTGGAAAGATGACAGCTCTGATTTGCCACAGATGAGGATCTGTTGTTAAGGGCTGCACATTCTTTCTTAATTCAGCCTCTGAGTCCCTATACTGATATCACCCCTCAGTGAAATATTTTTTGACTATCTCCTTCTACAAAGCAGAGTACTGTGGAATCATTCAGAGTTGGGAGTAAGTTACTTAACTTTTTTTAAGCCTCAGTACAACATTATCCTCTCTGAATCTCAATGTTCCTATCAGTGATGCTCCATTAAGACAGGCTTTTTCTTCTCTTTTGCTCGGTATAATATCCCCAGTGTCTAGAATAGTACTTGGTAAGACCTAAAGACATATTTGTTATATTAATTAATGAATCTGTAATATGACAATAATAATTCTAACAATGCACAGGACTACTGGGAGGATTAAATAAGATAGTGTAAAACACTTAAGAGCATGCCTGGCATATATAGGTATTTAATAAGCAAGGCTATTATGATGGTCATGTCACTACAGCATAATTACATAGGTGCATGACTTTCCTCGGTAACCATGAACTCCTCCAGTTCATCACTTTTCCTACCTCAGGGCTTGGCAGAAGTTTGGGGCTCAGCCTGTGGTGAATGAATGCATAGTTGCTTCTGTTTGTTCCTTCAGGTGTTTCATCGCTGATTTGCCCCACCTGCAGGACAGCTTTGTGGACAAACTTCTTGACCTCATGCCCCGACTTATGACATCCAAACCTGCAGAAGTGGTCAAAATTCTACATACCATGCTGCGGCAGAGTACCTTCCTACACCTCCCCCTTCCAGAGCAGGTCAGTGTCTGTGTCATATCCCTTCAGGCGAAATCCATCCAGAGAGCATCCAAAACTGCTCATCTTGGTGATCTTCTTTGAGCAGTGGAGGAGCTGGGTTAGGGCCTTTCCTCTGATTGACTAACATGTGTCCACCCATTAGATAAGGAGACAGAAAGGCAAGGATCATGTTTTGTTACCCAGAGATGACCTGGCTTTAGAATCATATTTTCTTCTTGCTTACAGATCCACAAAGCCTCAGCCACCATTATTGAGCCAGCGGGCGAATCAGACAACCCTTTGCGGTTTACCTCTGGGTTGGTGGTGGCCCTGGATGTCGATGCAACCCTGGAACATGTTCAGGATCCTCAGAGCACTGTGAAGGTCCAGGTCTGTCAGCTTTTGGTTCCCATGGAGCTTCTAAACTGACTTTGTGTTGGAACTTTTAACTTTAGCACCCCTGTAATCTCTACCTGAGGGACAGAAACTGGGGAGAGAGAAGAGATAAGTTTTTATGGACAAGAGCCTGGGCGTGAATCCCAGCTCTACTGCTGAGTATGGTCTGGAGGAAGTTACTTTAAACTCTGAACCTTAGATTCTGCAACTGACAAATAGGAATAGTTGACATTGAAATGAAGTGATGTGTATAAAGTTCCTGGTCCCCAGTAAGGGTTCACTAAATGACAGGGCCGCTTCTATTCTTATAATGTGAAGTTAAGACTTGGTATTTTCAGGGCTATAAGCAAACTGTAATAAGTCCTTTTCCGGTTGTAGGTGGGTCAGCTTGGTGAATACAGTTTATGGGTGGGAAAAAGTAGTCACTAGGGAGTATTCTTTCCAAGTTAGATGGATGTACTAGAGAGACAGGAGAGATGCAGTATAGGCACTAAGCAATTTAACAGTCAGTAGTTAAGCCCCACTAAGAGTCCTACCCATTTACACCCCCTCCCTCCCTCCCTCCCTCCCTTCCATCCATCCATGCTTACTCTACTGCACATGCTAAGTGCTAGGCAAGCATGTCAGAATTCGTGCCCTGAGGATGCTTAGTTTCAGTGAGAGACAGACAAATGGACAGGCAGTTGTAAAACAAGTTCAGTCATCAGTTCCAACAGGCACAGGATGAATTAGGAATGTTATGGCCTCTTATTAAATCCTGATCGCTCACACAACGTAGATCTAACTTCGGGAGCCACTTGCAACACTGCCTCCTGAAATGAGACCTAACTTTTTAAATAACCTGACCTACTCTCAAGACTAAGAGACTGGGACTTCCCTGGTGGTGCAGTGGATAAGACTCCGCGCTCCCAATGCAGGGGGCCCGCATTTGATCCCTGGTCAGGGAAGTAGATCCCACATGCATGCCGCAACTAAGAGTTCACGTGCCTCAACTAGGGAGCCGCTTGCCGCAACCAAGGAGTCCGCCTGCTACAACTAAGTGTTACTGAGTTCAAGCTCACTCTGCTCACTGCACTACAGGCCAGTGAATCGGGAGATGAGGTGTTGAGACAAGGAATACGACTTTATTCGGAAAGCCGGCAGACCAAGAATATGGCAGACTAGTGTCTCTGAAAAACCATCTTATCTGGGTTTGGATGCCAGTTTCTTTTATAGAACAGAGAGGGGGAGGAGGTGAGGAAGTAAAGTAAAAAGGCCATAAGTTTTGCAAATGTCCCCTGGAATGGCTAGCCTCAGGGAGGGGATGGGTTAATTTCTTCTTTCTTGCAGCCACCCACAGGTGGACAGGGTCAGGATGCTTCCCCCAACAAAGGCACTTTGGTTTAACATTCAGGCAGAGGGACAGGGTTCCCCGAGGCAGGCCGTTATGTATAGACAGTATCCTTTTAGTGAACACCAGCAGGAAAGCAAAGGTTAAAGTAAAAGAAACAGGTCCAACATGTAGCCAGATTTGGCTCTTCTCTGTTACATAAGGAGCCCACGTACGGCAACTAAGGAGCCCGCGAGCCGCAACTAAGACCCAGCACAACCAACCAACCAACCAACGAAATAAATAAAGAAAATAAAGATTAAAAAAAAAAAAAAGAAAGAAAGACTAAGAGACTGGTTCAGTGAGATAATGGACCGATCTACCGACTTAGCTTCTGGATTGTGAAGCTTCTTAGAAGTTTCAAAGGCAGGAATGAAGGGGAACATAATACACCACCCCAAAATAAACCTTTTTGGCCTAAGGATTATTTTGGGATGATGATTTTTGAGAGGCTGTAGACTGGAAACAGAGTAGAATTGCCCTTTTGTGAGGGAAATTTACATTTATAAGGGAAATCTCCATTTGTAAGGTATCCCCCTCTCGGTACCAGAAAGGGAAGCAAGACTAAATCTCTAGAAATTCATCAGTGAAAACTATGCCAACTTAAATTTGCATAACACTCGTACCCTTGATTATTGTGTTTTACCTGATAACCTCCCATAACAGGCTCCCTTCCTCTTCAACATCTTTCTTTTGTTTTTAGCTGAATATGGTATTTAAGGTGATGGCTTGGTTAGTTTCAGGGAGTTACTCAGTTTTCCTAAGTCTCTTCCTTATATAGAGGAGACATATTTGTTATTAACTTCTATTTGTTTTTCTCCTGTTTATCTGCCTTTTATTATAGCAGGGTCTCAGCCAAGAACCTAGAAGGGTAGAAGGGAAATTAATTTTTCTCCCCTACAGGGTTATTTCCAGTTTTGGCTACTATAAAAACATTCTGCAATATACTTAAAAAAAATATATATATATATATATACACACACACACACACATATACATATGTGTGTATATATACATATATGTGTGTGTGTGTGTGTATATATATATATATATAAATTATAAAGAATACTATGGAGAAGCCCTTAATTTGTAGAGTGTGACTAAGGAAGAGAAAGACTTTGTGGAGATACTGTTACATGGATGAGATAAAGGATGATTAAGAGCAAAGGATAGAGGTATTCCAAGCAGAAGGAATATGAATAAAAGTTAGGGATGCAAGCACCTGCAGTAAGTACAGAAAAATAGCCTGGAGCAGGCAGGGTCGGCTTCCTGGAAGAGAGTCAGGATGAATCAGGCCCTGAAGACGGTTAATATTTACCTATGGTGACAGTAGAGGAAAAAAAATCTTCTGGCTTCCCAGCAGGAATTATTAGAAATCATGAGACCTACAGAGAACTAACTCTGAGCTGCAGTTTTATTGGACGGCAGTTTTTTGTTTGTTGGTTTGTTTTCCCCTGTCTACCGAAAAAAAAATGCACAACGTAGAATTTGAGAGTTATGTTTTTTTTGGCAGACTTTCTTAGATTGCAGGTATAGATTGTCGCAAGCCTGGGAGACAGCATCTGAGATAAATGCTGAGAAAACTGTTCCGAAGAGGAAGGGGGAAACCAGGATATATAGGAGTTTTTGCAACACCACCAGGTAGCCGGAACAAAAGACTACTGTTAATAAAAGAAAACTAGATATCGCAAGTTAAGGAATTTGGCACTTTTCTACATAAGGGAAGATGCAAGAGTCTGGACTCATTGAAATCATTCCTTTGATATGCACCTCAGCTCTCTGGGGCCAGTATCCTGTGTTTCCTCTTCCCAAGTTTCCTCAAGCTGCACCATTTGGGGTGGCTGCAGTCTAATGACTGCGGTCATTCCTTGTTTCCTTCCTCAGTTCCCTCAGGGCTCACTGCTGGAGGGCGGCTGCGGTTGCTGATGGCCCAAAATCCTTTGTTTACTGATGTGGTGGGCAATGTTTTATTTCTCAGCCCCAAAGTTAGTGGTTCTCCACCCTAGCTGCACTTTAGAATTATACAGAAAGTGTTAAAAACTACTGATGCACGGGGCCTCAGCCTACACCAGTTAAATCAGAATCCTGAGAGTAGGGCCCATGACTACCAGTATTTTTTATTTAAGAGCTCATAGGTGATTCTAATGTGCAGCCCGGGTTGAGAACCCCTGTTTCACATTGTCCCTGGAAAAAGTTCGCTGACCAATTGAGCATAAATGAGATTGCAGGTATAGATTATTTAAGGATCACCTGCTACACTCTACTGAAAGATCACCTTCCGAGCAGCTCTACTACATGCATGGCCAGACTGTTCGGGTACCTCTGCAGGCTGGGAGATGGGGAACTCGCTGCTTAGTCATGGGACAGCTCTGACAGTAGGAAAGCATTGTCCAGTTCAGCTACCATGCCCCAACACTTCCGGACAGATGAGAGTACGGGGCAGGTGGGCTGAGACATGCCTCCCCAGAGTTTCAAAGTTGAAAGACCTGTGTGGTCCCTACTTTACCCGTCAGTGTGTTCCCATAGCCCAGGACCTACGTGTTTGTAGGATATGCTTCATTTGTTCATTTAGCTCGTTTGTACACTGTGCAGTTTACAATAATAGGCCCTCTACACAGATAGCTGTGAGGTCCCCCTGGGTGTGGAGGAGAGCTCTTTGGCAGCTTGTAAGATGTGAGGAACTGGCCAGTGATTTGAGCACTGAGCACTGTCTCTGTAGAAAGCGACAGATAAACAGCTTCCTAGCTGCTTATGATCTAGTGGAGAGTTACAGAATTATTCTTAATCCTTGGTAGTTGGTGATGGATCCTGGGCCATGATATGATTTGGAGCCAGAGGAAGGAGAGTCATCCTGATGGGGGTGTCTGAGAAGGCTTTTCACATCAGGATTAATATTTTAACCTATCCATGTACTTAACAGAGGCACTTTATTCCTGTCCCTCATTCACCATGAATTCAGGAAACATTTATCACATACTGCTTTGTACTGGGGAGGGGGTAGAGAGATTTCGACAGTGTTGTCCTCCCCTCCAGGAGCAGTTTTGTATGAAGGGTAGTGTCTTCTTTTCCTCCTGTTTTGGGGTTCACAACAGATGTCACCAGCAATTCTGTTAAAAGCCCATGGCTCTTCTGCCTCTTTTTCTCATTTCTGTCACCTCTTAGGTCTCATATCCAGATGGCCAAGCTCAGATGATCCACCCTAAGCCGGCAGACTTTCGGAATCCCGGCCCAGGGCGGCACCGGCTTATCACTCAGGTGTACCTCTCCCACACTGCCTGGACAGGTAAGGAGTCAGTGGGCCAAGGCTTTCTTTTTTTTGTAGTTTGAAAAATACGTGATTGAACCAGGCCTGCTGAGGGTTGAACTTGATTTCTTAAGGAGCCTGAAAGCAGTAGAATGGAGTCTCATTGAAAGAACTGTGGGCTGGACACCCGGAGACTATTTTCTTATCCTAACACTGCCACTGACTTGCTGTGTACACTTGGGCAAGCTACTCTCCCTTCTGAATCTGTTTCCTCACCTTTCAAATTAAGATAACGGTTCTTTACTACTTAATTCTGAGGACTATTCTGTCTGGAAATTAAAGTTTTATATTTCTTACCAGAAATTTAAAATCACTCTTTTTTGTATATGAACAATACAGTTCATTCCCCCAGAACAAGTAAAATGACAACTGTTCTTGCCTTCCCTTCCCACATGGGCTGGTTTGTGCGATAATGCAAAGTAAGGTGATCTATTCCTATTTTACCCTCCCATACAGCAACTGAGAAGAACCTTGATAATTTGAGAAAACACATGGAGGTTACATAAGTATTTTTCTTTCATTTGTAAAGAATAAAACGAGAGAATACAAGTGCAATGACATTACGCTTCCAAAGCCTGTAAGGCTGCTTTGGAAACTGAAAAAGACTCAGTCTGCAGAACCTAAACTGTGGGAGAGAATTGGCCTCGGTGGTGTTGCCTAAGTCGTTGAAGGTGATTCAGAAGCATGGTTGTTACTGGAGAAGGTGTTCAATACCACCAAATCTGGTTTATTTTAGAAATAGGTGGACGCCTTCTGGAATTTTATTTCACTGTATTTTTGAATACATGAGTAACTGTTTATTGCCATTATTAATGGTTTTCCTCTGTCAAGGGTGTTAGGCAGGTATAGATGACTTTATAAAGTTTTCACAAAGAGGAAGTGGTGCTGTTGAGTGTCAGGGCAGCCCCTTCGGGGGTCCAGTGGGCCTGGCAAAATTGAGGGAGCAGATCCAGCAATGCTTGTACAGAGAATCTGCCTCCCTGAGTGTCCCTCAATCCATATCCTTGCTGCCTGGAGTGTTCTGCACTGTTTGCCACAGTGCAAGTCCACAGAAACGTAGAGTTCCTTATTTTAATCTCTTGTGGTGAAGGGATCCTAGATATGGGGAAAGAAATGCTGTGGGACAGCGTTGTTTTACAGGGTTAAGACTGAGGGAAGCAAAACAACATGTTAGAGCTCAGAAGAGCTTGAAAGGTAGGTTTTGAGGGGCATATTGACTTGCCCCTGGTCACACAGCAGGTCATTGCCTGAACCAGGCCTACAATTCGGGCTGTCCTGAGCCTGAAGAGTTGTAATTCATCCAGGATCACCTCCTCTGAGAGGTTGCTACCTAGTCACAATTACAAATATCTATTTTAATTCTCGGCTCAGCACTTACTAGTGTCAGATGTTTTCTCATTTGTTTATTGACTTTCTCTCCAATCAGAATGTAGGCTCCTTGAGAACAGGGGACTTGCTCGTCATCTTTAACCTCTGTGTCCCTAGTGCCTGACGTGGAGTAGGTGCTCAACAAATAATGAAAACTGAATATAGGATTTTAAATTTGCAATTAAAATTCATTTAATTCTTAGACAACTTTGTGGTGGGTATTAGTATTCTGCTCTTAATTTTGTAGACGCATAAGTGAAGGCCCATGTAGCTGAATAGTAATGGCACTGAGGCTGGCACACAGATTTCCTAACTCCTAAATCCCTTGTTTCTTTCACTGTACCATCCTCCCATCTGACCTGGGACACTAAAGTGAAAATGTGTTCTCATTCTGAAGGTGCCAGCACCTCTTTCTCCTAATCCAGGAGATGGTGCCTGGTATTGGTAAGGAGTCCTCCATCTAGTCCCTCAGCTCCCTACCAAGGGCCTCTCCTTTGGGAGACAGAATGCTGCCAGGTCACAAGGTTTGAGTCGCATAGACGAGTTTCCAAATTCTGCCTTACTTGCTGTGTGATCCTGAGAAAGTTATTTAACCTCTCTATCTCATTTTCCTTTAAGATTGGAGTAATAATATATACCTCATAAAGACATATTCTTCCAAGCATGATAAATAGGTTGCATGATTTGTCCCAGATGATCTTTTGTCTTTTTCCCACTGTCTTTTCCCTCTTGTTTCTTCTCCCTGCTCCCTTCCGCTGCTGGCAGTGGCTTGAATTGCCACTCTTCCCACGTGCTGGTGAGAAAAGGCATAATGACCAGATGGAGTTTAGTCCTCTGACCTGGGTTTAGTCCTCTGACCTTACCAGTATTTGGCTCCTGAAAGTACTATGAGAGCCTGGGCTAGATTGTGGTTTAGGGGTTGGCAATAGCCATCCAGGACAAGAAAGGAGAGCGTAGTGGGAGAGCTGATACTGGAGCCTAGTACCAGAAAGCAGTGCTAGTTTCATTACAGATACACTCCAGGCTGGTAAAAGGCCCCACGTGGAAAGGTGATGCTGAGGTTGGTTGCTCTCTGGGGTTGGCTCGGTTGCTCTGGTTGCCTGCCAGCCTTTCCCTTCCTGGAGGACAGCAATCTAGTCTGTATTCTGATCCCTAGGGAGAAGTCTGGAAGTAGCCAGGAACACATCTGGGGAGGCATTGAGAAGTCCTGGGACCTTTGCCCTTGTTCATTTAGATCCATCCAGCCCTCATGCCTGCCCTGTAAACCTCTTAGCCTTGGGCTCATCTTTAATACTTACACCTTTCATGAGATTACCCAGTCACACAAAATCAAGGCGGACACCCAAGCTAGCGGTGTTCTTGGCCTCTGCACTTGCCCTTAGGTTTTTCTGAAATCCTCTCCCCCTTCTTTGTGGAAGCCACATGGTGAATAGAAAGATTAGTTGCTTCAATTTATGAACTAAGCTCAAATTCTGTCACTGGTGTGGATTTGGGTAGTCACTTAGAACCTCTCAGAGTCTTGGGACTTTTTTGGGATTGTGACAGTCTTTCTTTCATGGTGTGGCAGGGTAAGAACTCTTGGAGTTATGTGCTTGGCACAGAGCAGGTGTTCCATTCCAAAGCATTCCTGAGCTCCCTCCTCAGTACTTCTTACGGACTCGAGTGTGCACTGTGCTCCAGTGCAACTGTCTCTGCCTCCTCAGCCAAACAGCAATTTGAGGGAGGTCTTATTTATTTTTGCTGGGGCCTGCCACATGAAGACACCAGATCAGTATTGTAATGTCATGTCATGAAAGAACGGAAGGTTCAGTGACGTGATTTTAGGTCCCTGAAATATATTCCTGTTCAGTAGTGAGAGTTTTCTGTCCGAACTATTTCCTTAATGAAAGGCTTCCTCTCCGCTAATGCAGTAGAGTCCACTGTGCATGTAGCCCTCAGGCCTGAGATCAGCTGTGGAGAAAGGCACGATTATCTGGGTACAAGAATTGGCCACATGCATGTACTTTGTGACCCTCTGTCTTGAGGCTGGAAGGCCTCTGTGGAAGAGGCCTTTTTAGCTTGCTCTCTGAACATCTCAGCAGCATGGCTCTGAGCTGCGGGGAGCCCAAGAGACCGGAGGAGGAGGTAGCAGTGGCAGAGAAGCAGCAGTACATGTGCAGGCTTAGGAACAGCCTCACAATATTCAGGCTGGAAAAGTGTTTTTGTATGCTGATGGGGGAAAGGAGGGACGCAGACAGATGAAGAAATGTTCTTGAAACCCTACTGCTTCTATCTTTGATGTTGCTTTTACTTGACATTTCATCCCAATTCCTAGGCGTTGCCCCATCAGAGGATTTTTGTCTTTTTTTTTTCTAGAACCGTGCCAGGTGGAAGTGAGACTGCTGCTGGCCTACAACTCCAGTTCACGCATTCCAAAATCCCCCTGGATTGAGGGTGGTGAGATGTCATCCCAGGTGGAAACCGGCATCGAGGGCACCATCCCCTTCAGCAAGTCTGTAAAAGTTTACATAATGCCCAAACCCGCAAGGCGCTGAGTCACAAGTAGTCTTTACAGCCGTGGCCTAGAAGGCCCTTCTTGGGGTCAGAGTGAGCCAGAAGCCTGGAGCATTTCACCTGGACGTGGTATATAGGCATAAGGAAGAACATGTGACCCTTATAGTCTTATCTGGTATCAAACATTGGATAAATTATTTTGCATTAAGAAAACAAAAACCTTCAAGTCTATCCCATCCCCCACCCCCTACCTCCCTAGCCTTGCCCCCAGTAAAGTTGAGACACCAAGCTGTTGTAGTTCCTGGTCCTTAAAGAAATCTATGTGGCTATAGGTTCAACATTTATACCGCAGGCCTACATTCTTCGGGTGTGAAACAAAAAGATCCAATTTTCTAGCCCCTTCCAAAGAACCAGTTATTGGAGCCGTAATCTTATTTCTTAAAGCAATAGTCTGTTTGCCAGGGCCAACTCCAAAGCAGCTTTCACAGCTGTACTTTTTCACCACCGACAGTTCCTGAAGGGCCCTAGACTTTCGTTATCTTGCTGAGAGTCTCCTTCCTTAACTCAGGCAATAGCTGGCCAAGGACTGAATGAACAGCTGAAGAATGAATCACTTTCATCCCTCAGGGAAATTCTTGATCTTGCCTGCCGTTATCCTTAGAACAAAAATATGAGAGAAGGGCCATATTTTACAAAAGAAACCAGGATTATGGGAAAGAGGGACCTAGTGTAAGAAACAAAGTCATTTCCCACTACTCTGATGACTCCAGCGTTGGAGCTGCGTGTGAGCTGAAGGTGCAGCAGGGGTCTAAGAACAGTAAAGGCTCCAGAGATGTGAACCACGTGAAGGCCTGTGCTATGTTCTTTACCTGTCATTTTATCCTTGCAACAGCCAAGTGAGACTAAGAGGTTAAGTCACTGGTAGGAAAACTGTAATAACACCTTTACTCGTTCAAATCCAAGATGATTCCAAAGGCCTGAGCTATACCATATGGAAAAGAACCTTCAAATTTTCTCTCTGTGCCTCAGTTTTTTCATCTGTAAAACAGAGGTAATTATACCTTAAGTGTTGTTGAATGGGTTTAATTAAATAATGCTTGGCAAATCTGAATCTGTGGCCAGTCTTGATCATATTTGGTACTTGGAAAGCTAATAAAAATAATAAGAGCATACAATTACTCAGAGGCAGAGCTGGAATTTGAATTCAAGCATGTTTGACTTTTGGTTTAATATACCTAACGTGTGCCCAGCAGTGTTGTAAGCCATTTACATGAATTAACTCATTTAATCCTCAAAACTACCCTATGAAGTAGGTACTATTACATTTATTCTATAAACAAGGCAGTTGAAGTTCAGAGAACTTAAAGAAACCAGGATTATGAGAAAGAGGGATCCACTATAAGAAATAATATTGTGAACTACATCTCTGATGACTACAGTGTTGGAGCTGCCTAGTTGGCCTAGGACACACAACTAGTAAATGACAGAGCTGGGATTTGAACCCAGGAAGTCTGGCTCTGGGGGGTTATAACTGCTATAGAGGGACTAAGGGAAGAAGATCACCTCCGTGGGATTTACTTTTCTCGTGTGCTCACCTGTTTAGTACATCTCAGTGATGTGCCATCAGCGGGCTCTCATGTGTCAACAGATGCCCTAAAGAAAATTGCCTGCCTTGGAGATAAAATGAAGCTTAAAGCCAGGCTGAACCATACCATGGCCCTGACACAAAGCACCTAATGATGATTACTGAGTTGAAGAACAGATGAAAACATCAAGACTCATCGCTGCTAACTGAGCCTTTGATGCCATAGCTATAGAAAGCCTTCCAAGGGAAGAATATGCTGAATCCTTTTCAGATAACACTACTCCTTTTATAAAAATCCTTCTGGGTCATTCCCCATTTTACAGGTGGGGAAACGGAGACTTAGAGGTAATGTCTTTCTCCTAAGGGGCAAGGGCGGGATTTGATCCCTAGGTCTTAAAACCCAAAATAGTACTTTTCCCACCAAAGGTGGAGAAAAACACGAAGGGGCAAAATTTACCTTAGTATCAGGATAAGTTTTTAAGAATTGAATGGGCTGCATTAGGAGATAAGGAGCTTTCCATGCTGGATGTGTTCAAGCAGAGGTTGAACAAGCTCCTGACAAGTTTGTTGTAAAGGAATTCAAGTATCATATGAGCAGTTGGGCTTAACCTTTTAAATTCCTTTTACTCTGAATTCTCTGTGAATTATGAGAATCTTGATTTTTCTGACAAAGACCTGGAAGGGAGCATAAAGATGGCTCCGGTGTGGCACCCTCATTTATAAGTGAATGTCCAAGCCCAGAGAGACTGGGTTAGTAGAAGCAAGTCTGGAACCCAGGCCTCTCAGTCTAATATGGTTTTCATGACAGGGATCTGTTGTTATGCCTTTTCAGTGGCCAACCATGTACCTCGTCAAAGCCAGAAACTGTCACATTGGACTCTATCCTTACGCCTCATATAAAACCAGCCATCAAGTCCTTTAGATTCTGCTTCCTTAAATGTTTCAATTCTCTTCTTGACTCGGTGTTTCTGTCCTGATGCAGCCTTCATCATCACTCCTAAGGTACGGGATTAGCTTCCTAATGAGCTGCCTGCTTCAAATCTTGCCTTGCCCCCTTCGGTCTACTCTTCACACAGCTGCCAGAGTAATCTTTCTAAAACCCGGATCTGATCACACCATTCCCCTGCTTTAACCCCCTTTAAGTGGGTCACTTCTGGCCCCAGGATAAAGTCTAAACTCCTATCCTTGAAGGCTCTTTATGCCCCTTGTGTCCTCTCCAGCCTCATACTCCGTGTCCCAAACATTCTCTCCTTCTGCAGCTGTAGAGGATTATCTGTAGTTATTCCCAATACTTACCATGCTCTCTCTTGCTTCACACCTTTGCACTTGCTGAGCCCTGGAATGTGCTCTTCAGATTGTCTCCTATGGTTCTTTTCTTTTCATTCTTCAGGACTGAGCCTCATTCTGCAACCTATCTGTGTCTCCTGTGGGCTTGGTGCGTTGCACAGCCTCCTATACATTCTTCAAGCGTGGTATTTATTGCAGGTTCACAAATGCCAACCCCTGAAGCAGGTAGGCAGGGGAAAAAAAGGGGTCAGGTGGCTTTGTCAATCTAATAAATGCATCCTAGGTAATTTTCATGAATGTATTTTTCAAAATTATGAAAAATAATAATCCTTGTACAAATTAAAAAAGGGGGGGGGTGTCAAGTGACCTGGAAGAAGATAACAGAGACTTGAGGAATCAGCACATTCTCTATCAGAAGAAGACAGTTGCTATTCAGCTCCACTCAGTTGTTCATAGGTATGGGCCTGGTGATGTCAGATTTTCTGATTCTTCCAGAGAAGTCAGAAACCTGCATTTTCATGTGAAAAATAACCACGTTAAAAATTTTGGTAACTAAATAAAGTAAATGTTAAAATTACTCTGAGACAAACAAAACCTGTCTCCAGGTAGATTTGTGCCAGTTTGAAACTTCTGCATTGTTACTGCATATTTACATGTCTGTTTCTTCCAACCAGTCTGTGAATAGCTAGACCTTAAGAATGTCTGTGTTGTATCCCCAGCATAGCTCCCGGCACATACCAGGCAAGGAAAGAAGGAATGAGCCCGTGAATCCAGAGCAAGGTTAGCTGTACCATGACATGCCTGCAAAACCCAGCCCTGAGAGTCAGGTTTCTGAAAGGACTTTATATTTGGCTTTGACATGATTGACCTCAGCAAACGGAATTATGGAGAAAGTACACACCTAGCACTTGGCAGACTGCTCGTCTTAGGAACCGCTCAAGCTAGAAGAAATTTAAGTGTGGGCAGAGTGAGGGCTGTGCAAGCAACTTACAAATTGAATCAAAGGGTTTAATGATTAAGACATGGGACTAAGTATAGTGTCATGGAAAAAGAGCTTCTCTCCAGGCTCTGCAAATTTCCAGCACTGACCATGCAGAACAGATTCAGAAGTAGGGGCTGTCAGCAGGTTCTATACAAAGTTTAATAACCTCACTGTCAGGTACTTCTGTCTCAAAGAAGTTTGTACTAAGTTCTGTTTAATGTGGAGACAACTCACTTAGGAACATTGATTACACCCACACCTAATTCAACACCCACTGGAGCTGTCTCATCTTACATTTGACAAAAAAATTTTTTTTATTGCATCAACCAGAGAAAGTCTGAATTTTATCAAACATCCTTCCTAGCTATATAAGTGTCTGGCTTTATGAGCTGAGGGAACTGAGATCTAGAAACATCCTGTCATCTGACAAATGGCTGGTTGTAGAAAGGGCACTGAGCAAGACCTTCTCAGACCTCTAGGCTGAGTCTCAGGTCTGTGAGGATCTCTCTCCCACGGGCCTCCTAAGGTGATAGAAAGAGATCAGGACACAGCATTGGGTTCTAATCCTGCCTTTGCCACTTTCTTGCTGGGTAAGCTTAGAAATTAGATCACTTTCCATTCCAATGGGCTTAGCTCATCTTTTCTTGCCAGGCCACATCTTAAGTTGCTGTTCAGTCTACGGATTGGCTGTCCTGAGGTCAGATGCCCAGTGGGGCCAGTCAGGCAACAGGATCATGTGGAGCAAAAATCAGCTTTCTGGGCTGTGGCTTCAACAGGGGCTGGGGTGGAGCAATTTTATTTAGTTATGACCATGATAGATAGACACCATACCTAATAAATAAAGAGTTCCCAAGTGTTTGGTGAATAAATGAACCTTTTCTTGTTCTTTAAGACTTGTGTTATGTCCTTAGTGATGTCTTCCCTAATTTTCCTCCCATTCTGGTAGGATAAGTTAGTCCACCCTTTGCGCCACCACTGGACCTTGTAACTAGTATAATGTTAGCACACTGTATCATTACTGTCACAAGACAGTAATGTATTTGTTTCTCTCTCACATAACTCCTGAGGGCAAGAACTATATCATTCCTGTACCCCTAGGATCCAGCAATAATTGGTCATAAGAATATTAGTAAGAGACTCTCAGTAAATGAATATAAAAGAGAAGTACTGAATAAATGAGAGAATAGAGTAGATAATTCCTTTGGGCTCCAACATTCTATGAATCTGTGAAATTATAAGCTGATATATTAAGAACCATAAAATGAAACCAGTTAGCTTTACACAGCAGCCCCATTAGGAGAAAGATACAATGGTTTCAGTTTATTGAGTCCTTACTACATGCCAATGTGCCAAGACTTTCTATGAATTACCCAACTTAACACCTATGATAACTCCAGGTACTAATATGATCCCTATCTGACAAATGAGAACAGTGAAACTCTGAGAGATTAAATGCCCAACCGGTGAGTGGCCGTGAAAGCCACAGTTCAAAGCCAAGGCTATCTGACACCAAAGCTGATACTCATAACTCTTTAAAGAGGGGGAAAAATGAAAAATAAGGTAATGCTGATTACTATTATAATTCTGTCAGTCTATTCTAAGGCTTCACAAAGGCCACCTGGTGTTTAATAGAGCAAAGGCTATCCATGCCAGTAGGGACCACTAAAAGGCATTTAGTCCAGCCCCATCATTTTATAGTGAGGGAATCTGAGGCAGAGAGAACTGTCTGGCAAGGCTCAGGTTTAGTTAGTAGAACAGCCTGCCTAGAACCCTAGTATCAAGGCAGAGCTCCTTTTACTGTTATTGAAGTGTTGCCTCAGTTCATTCAGGGCTCTGCTCATATGTCATTGCACAAAGACACTTTCCCTGACCACATATCTGAAATAGCCCCTCTCACTCTTTTTCTTATCTTGCTTTATTTTTCTTCATAACATTCTACTTATATTATTTGTTTACTTGTTTATTTTGCCCACTAGAATATAAGCTTCATGAGCACAAAATTTTATTGCTGTTTCTCTGGAGCCTATAGCAGTGCCTGGCATCAAGGTACTTAATAAAAATTGGTTGAATTGATGACTAAACATTCCAAAGCATCAACTGCAATGTGATTTTAATGCACTGAAACTTTTCTTTGGCTTTCAAACTTCAAGTCAGAAGGCTTTCTTTATTTTTGCCTTTATTTTCGCTTACTTCTGGCCTAACATTTGCCACAATATTAAACTTTGGTAAACTTCTGTCTCCTCCCCTGATTTTCAGC